AGTCGGTTCCGATTGTTTTTTATTTTGCAGATTTTTTTTGATTTGTTTTGCAGGATTTATTTTAATTAATTGAATTAATTTGCTCTGTTAGAGGGGGTCGTGCCAGGATCTCGATTTCGGGGGGGGGGGTCGTACCTCTGCGACCACGTACTCGACACGATTTTCACCCTGGTTGGAAGTCTGGGCTGCCCGGTCCATCTTCATACCACACATGCTATACTGCATGATAAATTTGTACGTCAGCTCAAGGTTTATTCGTCTTTCCCCTGTGTCTTTATTTCGCCAATCCCAACTCACTGATGAGCTCCGGGGATTGACGAAATAATAAGGTTCGTCTGAGGAAGGAGCGAAACGAACCATTTTAATTATTTTGTTTATAATGGTTTTTCTTTCTTAATTGCCATAATAGTACCACCGAAATAAGCACCGCTTCAAGATTTTTCTGTTGCTCTGAGAAGATTCATGTTTTCATACATTTCCGAGCAGAATTATTCATCGTTCTTGACCAGCACAATGCAATCCAAACGCTGTTCCACATTGCAGCATTGTCGGAGTTTAAACTGGGCTTCTATATTTGTAGACATTGGACACATTCATGCAAAGTTTAGAAAAAAAGCTCTTTCCAGGTATCTCGCAAGAAAAATTCGCACTTGCTTTGATCTGTGTTGCCGAGAGAATGAAGGATTATTTGGGATTCATTTCTGGAAGAGGTTTTTGCATGGAGTAATTAATGGGCAATAATCTTAACTCCAAAGCATCGCATGAGTCTTAACCGCTTCGTTGTCGTTGTCTCGCGGAAGAAGTCGAGCAAGCTGGAAGGCTCAAAGGTTGTCAATTTGAAGAGTATTTGGGCATATAAGAAGACGTCAAAGAGCGTTCATAACGAAGTGGAATACTATTTGATGAAAAGGGTTATTTCTTTCGATAGCAGATTCCATGTTCGGTCTTCTTGAAACCTGGGCATGTTGAGATATTGCTTGTTTTTCTTCTGCCATACAGGTTGTTACGATGGAACTTTTATTCGGTCGACGTTTCGAACAATTCGTCGTCTTCAGGACCTGAAGTCGGTTGGAAGTTGCTAGCGTGTAACTCACCCGGTCAAGCCCCACGATACTCTCAAGATGCAGAAAGAAAGGAAAATCCAACAGGGAACCAACCTTTGCAGTTCCACCAGTGCCACGTGGTCACTCAATCCTTGAATATATGCGGAAAAATGAGACACACTCGACACACATGACAGTGAAGCGTCATACGTGCAGAATGTGAATATCTCACAATCCACATAAAGGAATGAAAGGCAGGAATTCATTTGTAATGGCAATGCATTCATTTCGGTTATTTAACTTTGGATTTCGCACGCGGATATAGAACGCTTCTAACATCTTTCTAGCACCGATGTCATCCTCGCGGGCAAGGATTCTGCATTCAATATCATATTAATAAAAATATAAATATTAAATATGGATAGAAGACCACCAGGGCATCGATTTTAATATTGAGTGCAGAATCCTTGCCCGCGAGGATGACATCGGTGCTAGAAAGATGTTAGAAG